AACTTTTTAAACAGGGGGCCAGTTCACTGTCCCTCAGACGGTTGGAGGGCCGGACTATAGTTTAAAAAAAAAACTATGAACAAATTCCTATGCACACTGCACATACCTTATTTTGAAGTAAAAAAAACAAAACGGGAACAAATACAATATTTGTATTTGCATGTGGCCCACGGGCCGTAGTTTGAGGACCCCTGGTCTAGACTGTAGACCTCGGTTTCTGAGACCTTGAGGGAAGGGGCAAGTCCGAGGGGCTGTGTGTGAGGTCCCAGCCGGGCCCCCCACCCCCCGACCCTGGAAGGAGTATTGTTTTTCCTGATAAGGGACACTAGGACCAGGAAGGTTAAGTAACTTGTCTAAGAGCTTGAAGTTAGGACAGTGTATAGTGGTGGTGGTGGTGGTGGACGAACAAGAGATACAAAAGGCTCACGCATCATTTTTTATCATTGCTCATTCTTGCAACTTCATCGAGTCTGTGAATTTGTGGTTTTGCACAAGCTGATGGGACGAACCAGGCTGCCCCTGAAAGTTGGAGGTGATGAAAACAAGGTTGGGGGCTTTCCAAGTGGGTGCTTGACGTAGTACACATCCTGTGAAAACAGAAGGACTTGAAAGAATGGCAAGGAGAAGCCCTTATGCACATAGAAGAGAGAAGACCAGAGGGACCAAGACACAAGATCTTGCCCAGACATTTTTCACGGTCCCCTCCCTGAGACCCAGGACGGAAGAAAGGCATAAAAAAAAAGCACCAAGCCAGATCAACTGTTAAAAATTATTTAATAGAAAGTCCAATGTCAAAATGTAACAATAAACAAAAATACACGTGTATAAATATGTATATATAATTAGACCTGTACACTTTCTCAGACCTTTTTTTTCAAAATGGAACAGAATCATCATTACATCTCGTGGGCAAATCAAAAATAATATTCAAGCGACGTGGACCCACTGGCGCTGTGGGGAAAGTACTGCCCATGCACTCTGAGGGTTGAAGACTTCCGATCGAGAGAGAGGGGGCGGATATTGCCAAATGCCTTTTCCGGGAGACCCAGAGAGGGAAGGTGGGCTCTGTCCAGGGTCCCTGGTCTCTCCTTAGCACCTGTAGCCACTACCGTCCAGGGACAGCCCTCCTGTCGGCGGGGTTTTGCATTCTTTACATTTCCGTTGTTTGAGAGTTTGCTTGCCCTGTCTCCCAGATTACAAACTCCTGGGGATTTTGCCGTAAGATCTCCCTATTCCATAGGCCAAGTGCCAGCACAGTGGTTTGGGATGGATGCCATGAAGGTGTGCTGATTTGCTCTTAAAACAGTAGTGTCCAAAGTGGGTGTGCACACACCAAGGGGGTCCCTAAAGTCCCCCTCAGAGGTTCAGAGAGAAAATACCAGAACCTTGGATTATACTATTTTGTATCTTATTCTTTTAAAATGCCTATGTGTGTACCTTGTATAATGTGCCTAACATATTAGTGCAGAAGTATGAATGCAGGCTGTCAATAACTGATAAACAGACAAAGGGGGTACATCTTAGAGGTTTGCTGATCGGCGTGATGGATGGAAGCGGATGGGCACCCACTTGCTTTACAGAGTTCAAGTGTGTGCGGGGCCTGGGGAGGCCGCCCTGGGGGGCTCCCGTGCCCACCTGAGGAAGCCTTTGCAGGTGCTCAGAGGAGCGACCCCAAGACACCACTCAGACCTGCTGACAGCTGGTGCCTCCTAATCCCCCCGCTAGATTTCCTCACACGTAAGGCCTCGTTCCTGAATAAAACACGAATGCCCCTGTGAAGAGCAAACCTGCAGCCATTGACAAGGGCGGCCCTTTGGAGCTTTTCCTGGTGACGGGGTGGGAGTACATCTTAGAGGTTTGCTGATCGGCGTGATGGATGGAAGCGGATGGGCACCCACTTGCTTTACAGAGTTCAAGTGTGTGCGGGGCCTGGGGAGGCCGCCCTGGGGGGCTCCCGTGCCCACCTGAGGAAGCCTTTGCAGGTGCTCAGAGGAGCTACCCCAAGACACCACTCAGACCTGCTGACAGCTGGCGCCTCCTAATCCCCCCGCTAGATTTTCCTCGCACATAAGGCCTCGTTCCTGAATAAAACACAAAAGCCCCTGCGAAGAGCAAACCTGCAGCCATTGACAAGGGCGGCCCTTTGGTGACGGGGGGGGACCGCACCAGGGCAGGCGATGGGGAGAGGGTGCCTGAGGCACACCTGGCTGGCCACATCCCGTGACCACCTTCAACCCCCGAAAGGGACCTTCCAGGGCCTTAAAGTAGGTGTGTGTGAGGCCAAATGTTCTATCAGTTTCCAGCATCCTGATCACCACATGTCTAATCGCCACAGATTCTAACCAACACGCCTAAGCTTCTGGGATAGTCGAGTGGGAACTACAAGACAGAATCAGAAATTCCACAGCAAGGAGCCAAAGAAGATCTGGGAAAAGAGTGGGTGTTTGAGCTAAAATCTTTCTGAGGGTCCAGAAGCTGGTGTTGCTGCCGAGTCTGCCAGGCTACACCCAGGAGGGGCGTGTGTGTGCACCCCCCCCCCCGCCACCAGGGGGGGGGGGGGGGGGGGGGGGGGGGGGGGGGGGTAGAAGACAGGGTGGGGGAGCTCTTGCAAAAGAGGTCAGCCCTGAGGAGTGTTCAGGGCCCTTTGGGATCCCCGAGCCACATGCTAGGAAAGCTGCCTCCAGCCCCAATGCCTCCAACCTCTCAGGGAAATGACGTCACTTGTTTGAGCCTTTTCTTGAGCTTCTAGAGACCACGATGCCTCACAGCTAGCATTTTGTATCCTCTGATTCTTTCCTTCTCCTGACAGAGTTTCTCATTATTTGTCTGGTGGGTGACGTGGGTGAGCAGGTTCTTTGGAAAACCTAAAAGGCACTGCGAGTTGTCTGCATAGAGAGACCCTGCTTGTCCCTGAGCCTCCCCTGCCTCGTACCCTAAAGACACAGAGCCCCGAGCTCCGGTGACCTCCCTGTCCCCACGGGGACCATGGCAGCGGTCTAGGCTTGTTCGTAATTCCCATGCGCATACAATCCATCTGTGCTTTAATTTTTAAAATAGCCCCTTTCTTTGGTGGGACTCAGGTGTGTACCCCAAACACAGCAGAGCCTCGGCCCCCAGGTGTGATCTAACCTAGGGGAAGGCTGGCCACGTGTCCCAGGGCAGCTGCCTTTGGCTGGAATGAATGAAGGCATCACACTGAGGGGGAAGCCCTCGCTGCTTCCCCTGTATTCATCCTAGGGTGGACTCTCAGCTCCACCTGGCGTCTAGGCCAGCCTCTCCCCAGAGGCGTTGTTAGCCGGGTTGGCTCTACGGATAGGAAAGGAGGCCTGTCCCTGTGACTCTAACCCAGCCCCAGCCCAGATGAAAGCCCTTGGGTTCAAACAGCTTTTGGAGAGGGGACAAGTAGTTGGGGTGGGGGCAACATGGGGATAACTCATCTCAGCAAGAAATGTGCGCTTCTGCCCAGCCCGTTGGGCTCAGGGGTTGAGCAGCAACCCAGCAACTGAGAGGTCGGGGTTCAGTTCCCTGGCAGGGCACATGCCCAGGTTGTGGGTTCGATCCCCAGTGTGGGGCGTGCAGGAGGCAGTCCACTGATGATGTTCCTCTCTCATTGATGTTTCTGTCTCTCTATCCCTCTCCTTCCCCTCTCTCTCTATAAATCAAGGAAAATGTATTTAAAAAAGAAAGAAATGTGTGCTTCCACAGTGAGGAGGGGAAACCTGGCCCTGATGCTGACCACGCCCACTTCTCCTTCTCCGGGTGACCTCAGCAGTGACCTCTGCTCCACAGGGCAGAGTATCACCTGCAGGTCTTCTTTACGCCCCCTCAACCCCCAGCCAAGTCCACGGGGCCTTCTGGGTGGGTGGCTGACTGCCCTGGCCTCACCCCTCTCTCCCTCAACCTCCAGCTCCAGCCGCTTGACTGCATATAGACCAGTGATGGCGAACCTTTTGAGATTGGCGTGTCAGCATTTTGAAAAACCCTAACTTAACTCTGGTGCCGTGTCGCATATAGAAATTTTTTGATATTTGCAACCATAGTAAAACAAAGACTTATATTTTTGATATTTATTTTATATATTTAAATGCCATTTAACAAAGAAAAATCAACCAAAAAAATGAGTTCGTGTGTCAGAGGTTCGCCATCACTGATATAGACCCTAGTCCCACCTTGTCCCCTCAGCCTGGGAGGCCATTGGCAACCCTCTCTGGAAGTCCTCTGACAACCTTGGGCTTCCACGTCACCTCTTCCAGGAAGCCCCATGATCCCGAAGCTGACAGCTGCCACGTGAGCTGCACCCAGTACTCATCCCTCCTGCGGTCCTTCCCACACTGTCCCCAGGACTAACGGCCGGCTCCTCGAGGGCGGGGCCTGCGTCTGGTTTAACTGCGTATTGCTGGCGGTTAGCTCGGTTCCTGGAGGACACCAGGTGCCCTAGGAACACTGTGTTGAATGAATGAGTCCTTGGCCCTGGGGGAGGCAATGCTAAACATGCTACACCTGGGACAACCTTGACCGAGGGGCCCTGACCCCCCCCACGGGTTCCCAGTGGAGCTGCTGAAATGCCGCAGTCAAGGCCACCCTGGACGATGGGGAGAGTGTGAGAACCGCCGTGGTTGTATACAGCTGGGCCTGGCGTGTAATCTGAGGGATGTGTCCTGTATGTGCCTGGGATGGGGCAAGGATGCCAGCCACAGCATCCAGGGTAGAGGCAAACAGGCTAGTGGCAGGGCATCCTGGCATAGACAGGGCACAGGGCAAGATGACCAGCAGACCTCTGCCCTCCTGGGCGAGTTTAACTCAAACTTTTGCAAGAGTGACCACTAGCTTTTCCCATTCTGGTGTTGTTATAGTTAACTAATACTTTCCTAGGCATTGTCTCAGAGATTAGAAAAGGCAAAAGCACAGCTCTTCCTTGAACTATTTCAATGACAAAGTAGTTACATTTTCTTTTCTGTGTGTGTGTGTGTGTGTGTGTGTGTGTGTGAAGGAAATAGATCCAAATTTAGAGCCCTAATAAGACAGCTGCCTGGTTCTGCTCCAGAAAATTAGATACAATTTTTGAAAATGAATTTGCATCTTGCTTTGAACAGAAAAGCTGGCTTGAAATCTATTGCAAAACTTCCTTTGCTCACTGGACTATCTGTTGAGAGAGAGAGAGAGAGAGAGAGAGAGCGAGCAGTCCCTGAAGGTCTGGACCGAAATGCAGGAAACCAGGGGCTGTTCTGTCACTTCTGGGTTGAGGCCAAGTGGCCCCCAGGCTCCACAGCTATTTTTAACCCCAGGGACCCTAAGGCAGTTCTGGCTGAGTTTACAGTGCTCTTTTCACTGCCTCCAAGTCTTAATCAAGTTCAAAGCCGTGGGCTAAAAATAACCCCTGGAAAGGGAAGAAGGGAGAATTCAGGGTTGGTTAGAGTGGAAAGATAGTATTAGAATGAGGCCTTTGGTTTTAGGGGTGAATCTTGCTGAATTAAAGCAATTTCTGTGGCTTCCAAGAGCCAAGAGCCATTGCCTACATTATGTTGAACGAATCCGACAGCCACTGGGTCAGAATTTTGGAGACAGTTTTCATGGGAAAACTGGCCATAGGGCCCCCTCTACACATGAAATTCTTTTGATTCCGTGGAGCTAACTCAATGAGGTTGGAGACGTGAGTTGTCTTTAGATGGTGCTCCTTTAGGAGCAAGGAGAGGAACTCTGGAGTTCCTGGGCTCTGCTGACCGTGGAACAGGTTATTTAAATGATGTCCAAGTTACTACAGGACTATCCCAAACACTTACGGTCTCGAAAGAGATTCACATCCAGTTTCAGTGCTTAAACTAGTCTGGAAAATTCCAGACCCACATTTCAAAGATCAAAGAGAAACACCAAGCCCTAGCCCACAAGAAAGGATTTCAAGTCAACGGTCCAGGCCTTTCCTCCATCTCTGGCGATCAGATTCTCCCAAACTGCTCTGCAAGGTCAAAGCCTTCACCTTGAAAAGATGCAGGCTGTGAGAAAGGGAGCCTGGGGACCAGGAAAACAGTGCCCGCACTCAGACGCCTGTCCTGGCTGCATCTGGCGTCTAACCGCAGAAGTACCAAGTTCCTTTTCCAGGTGCGGAAAAAGTTCCCAGGGAGAGACAGGTGCCTAAATCCCCAAAGCCTTCCCCTTCAGGGCACTCGTGTCCTATGAGCCAGCGGCCTCTCCTGTTTGTGCGCAGCTCCTCAGATACCGGAAGGCCACGTAAAACACTCCGCCTGGGGCAACCACGCTGCTGATGAGCCAAGAGAGATTCTGGAAGGTAGGTGCCCCCACGGGGCAGTTTTCACAGTGTTGCAAAGGGCATAGACATATTAAAGAAACCGGGGGGATACCAGAAGGACATCTTTCCTTCTTCCAACAGGGGCATTTATGTTGGGGTAGATGCATTCTACACATAGACACACCACTGAGAACACAGGGGGGCATGGGCTCACGGCACAGGGGCGTTGTGAGGGTTACACGAAACGGTTACAAAATGCCTAGCACAGTATCTGGCACAGCATGAGTATCAATAATAAATAGTAGCTCCTTTTCTTCTTTCCCCAAGATTAGATTAGAGCCCAGATAAGGTACAAGGGTCCCTGGAAAAACACAGCATGGCCAGTGAGCCCAAAGGTTTGTCACAAAAGGCAACATAGTCACCTATAATCCTCATTGTCTGCCAGAGCTTTTTTGGCCTTTTTCCAGAGACATACAAAAAGGTGACCGTGGACTTTTTTTTCCTCCCTTGGAAAAACACGTCCTTTCATTGGCACAAGGCAACAGTTCATAGACCTCATTCACGAAACTCCAAAGGTTTGTGGCAGGGACAGTGCCAGAGCCGACTGCCTCGCTCAGCCTTACACAGGAGTGTGGGGGCCACTGGTCGACCTGTGACATCGAGAAGTCCCCTTTGCATTACGCCCTTAAGCATATATTCCCTCCCCCACAACACGCCTTATTTTGTCTCGGGGTTTAAGCAACTTAAAAAGTTTAATTTCTGAGAGGTACAAAGAAATAAAGCTCCGAGAATGCCTTCCAGGGGGAAAAGCATGGTAGGCAGATTTTTTTTATGTAAAATTATAGAGCGCAATCTAATACTTTTTTTTTTTTTAAACGAGGGAGTTGGGAGAAGGAAGGAGCGAGCCTTAGAACCCAATTGT